CTGAGCCACACTGTCTGGGCAGAAGCGTCTTTTTTTTTTAGTGGAATGTATCAGAGTGACTGGTTAATAACATGGGACAGGTGTCAGCTGTACAGCATCCGTCTGTTGTACTGTGTGCTCATCACTGTAAGTCGAGTCTCCTTCAAAAATATCTTTAATAAAGGGTCGGAAAGAACTTCATTGCCAGTATTGTTATTGATTATTATTATTACACGAGGAAAATAAACCATTGACAGCAAGTGTTCAATTTAACAGAATGAATCACTAGCAGAGTCTGAGAGAGAATCCACGACTGACTCAGGACAATCCACATAATCACAAATAACAAGGACAAACAATATTTTCCAAGCCCCACTATACCCTACCATCCATTCCTCTCTCCCCCCACTTCCCAGGCACCTAAAATCATTTTCACAGGGTCATATCAGCTATGTGGATTAATAGACTCTCCCATGATGTAGCAAAGATTAAATCGGACCCTTGGCATGGCTGCTAAGTTTAGTGGCTACTGTTGCTTTTTCTTTTGAACCCTCAGCTGCTTCTAATACCTACCTGATCTGCCTGGGGACAATCTAAAGGCAGCTGGTTTTCCAAGACCTGTCAGCCTCTAAATTTCCCTGGTGTGTGAGACTGTGGAAGCGGGTACTGGAGGGGAGGAGTAAATACAGTGATAAGTCACTTAGGTTTGCCATGGTAGCACATTGGTAGGAATGAACTTTAAGCTATGAACAGAATTCCTTCCAGCCATTTCTTTTCAAAAAGCAATTTTGTGTGCCTTACAGAAAAATAAAATCCAAAACTTGTAAATAAAATCAAGAAAGCATAAAAAACAAGAAAATAGAAGGTAATCAGGAGTTCAAAAAAACAAACAAAAACCCAGATTAAAATATTCAGGAAAACTCAAATATACAACTGTCACAATGAAAACATTTCAGAGCAAAATGTGCTGCAATATGCTACTATGATTAAAAGCTATGTGATCTGGGGAACCTCTAACAAAAAGGAAAAGAACTAGGCAAATAGCTTTTTACATACTTTTCTAAAAAGGAAAGGCTGCAATATTGTCATAGTTACACAAAGGTAGATACATCTCTCATCTTCATCTACTATTAAAACATATCTTCAACCATAGGTATTTAATTACATTACATCATATATGGTTTAATACCAAGAATAAACTTATTTTATGACACTAGTACAAGTGTTCTAATTGTGATCCCATCATAACACATACGAAGGGTAATCAATTAGCACATACTGTTTAAGCAGAAAAGATCCTCTCACAGCTTCCCTTGTACTTTATAATTTATTTTGTTTTTTTTGTAATGTACAAATATTACCGGATATGTACAAATGACAGAATTAGGAGCAGCAATGAAGTACATCATATGTTCCTACTGTAGGCTGAGTCCCGGTCTTTGTTCCAATAGTCTAAAGCTGCTGGACGGAAAGCTAAGTATCCATCTACTAAAACATATTTCTACATTATTGCTGGCAAAAGTTCTTCTGATAGGTTTAGTCATCGTGATTATTCCTGCCTGCATTTGCTTCTTTCATACAAATCTCTTCCAATCCTAGGAACCTGCAGTACCACCACCCGGGAAAACAGGTCGGTGGCATGACAATCTGATAAGACAATGTAAAGGGTAGATATTGAAGAATGCAAAGTTATTTTCCCAATGAAAGAGTTCGGAAGTAATTCTGTATCGGTGACAATTTTTCTTTCTTTCTTCTTTTTTTTTTTACCAGCTACGCACCTATCTAGATAACTAACATTCACCTTGTTCTCAATGAACAGGATATCCTTCCCCTCAATCTTGCAATCTCCCTGAACAGTTTTCATGGCACAACTCAAACAAAAAACATTAGCCACGCCCTTTATACCCAGAGTCAAGCCACCTTTTGCTTCCCATCCCCTCGCCAAAGTCGAAAAATGTACATTTCACCTAAAAGGGTTTGCACCAGTTCTCTTACCCCGAGTCAGACAGACTCTTTTTCAGCCGTGCCTTGATATAATTCCTACGGGAAGAAGCTTTCTCCCGGGCAAGGTGCAGGCGCCAGAAGACACACAGAGGCTTACCTCCCACACACCTGCAAGCCCTGGCGGGATGCGGGAGCTGCTGCTCAGAGGACTGCGCTCCGCTCCGCTCCTCTCGCGTTCCTGCTCTCCTCTCTCCGGGAAAACTAAGTCCAGGCTGCGCCTTCGGCTGCTACGGGGACACAAGCTCCGCCTTCCCCGCCTCTAGTTGGCGGATTCGGCGGCCGTGGCTCCTCCCCCTGCTGTTCCGCAGCTGCCCCGGCTGGAGGCGGCGGGAAGATGCTGTCCGGGACCTCCCGATCCCTGCACTTCGGCAGCTATTCGGCTGCGTCCCTCTCCCTGGGGACCTCTCTCCTGTCTCTCCGTAGCTTCACACCCGGTGCCTCCTCCCCGCCCCGCTCGGGCACCTCCGCGAGGAGTCCAGGCTCAACCTCTCTCTCTCCCCGACTCGCAGGTCTAGCCGCCCGATGTGTCTGGGGCTCGGCCGCTTCCGTGCAAGCTGCTCCTGGGGCCAGGGACCGTCCCCACTCTGTACCGTCCCTCCACCCCGGCGACTCCCCACATGCGTCCATTCCGCCCGTGTCCACAGCTCAGTAGCTCCACGTTCCCTACTTTGAACTCTGCCCACCCACCCACTTCCCTTCCTTCCTGGGCTCCGCTAGCCCGCCCCCACAATGGGTGAGTAGCCGCGGGCCGACCCGGCACCCTGATTGGCGCAGGTGAGAGCTGACCCCTCCCTTCCTCCTCTTTCCGTGCACCCTCTCAGTTCAATTCACCAACTCCCGCAAAGGCAGGGAACTCTCCTCCCATTGGCTAGAAGTGTCCCCACCCATCGTCTTAGGCTCCACCGCACGGCCTGCCGGGAAGTGTAGTCTTGCAGGTGCATGAAGCGCCGACGCCGCCGGCGAGTGGAACTACGAGTCCCCATAGGCCCCTGCGCGACTCCGGCTGGGCAGGATTCCGGACAACGCCTGGTTCCTCTCGGGTCCTTCCGGCGTCGCCGGAGTGAATTGATCCGGGAGTTGAAGAGGGCTCGAAGGTGGGAAGTGAAGTCAGTGCCTCAGTGGCCGGTAAGGTGCGGCTGTTCCGTCTCCGTTCCCGTAGCCCCGCGCAGAGCCTAAGAGGTTTGGGGTCACCCCGGGGCCGTGGCGGGGGCACTCGGGCTTGGTTCTGGCAGGCGGAGCGGACGGGGCTGGGAACGGGGCCCTATGGGCGTCAGCGAGGCTCCCCTACGCGAGTGGCGTAAAGCGGTGTGTAAGCGCCGCTCACCCCGCTGGGGCCCGGACGCCTCCAGGAAGTCTCCTCTGGGTGGGGGCGGAGGGGAAGGGCGAGGTTGGCCTCTGGTGCCCCCGGAGAAGGGAGGGGGCGGATGTACCTGGGGTGGGGTCCTCGCCAGGTGTGGCTTGGGGAGGGGGGCGAGCTGCTGTTTTCCCCGCTGTAGAAGCAGGAGAGGGAGGAGAGGGAGGAGAGGAGGAAGGGAAATGCGCGTAGGGCTCTGTTGTTGGGGTGACTCAGGTTATGCCCTTTGGGGAAAGAGCTGTACCAGCAGGAGTCAGATGTGGACAGGGACCTAGGGATTCAGTTCCAGGTTCATGATGTGGCCCCTCCACGGAGGTGGTTCTGCCCGAAGCAGAAAGCCCTGACCCTCTTAGGTGTAATTGCTGAGATGCGTGTGCCCCTCGACTGCTTGCAGAGAGCATTCGCCTTGGGATGCTGATGGGGAGACGGAGGGGAGGGTGAGGTGCCCAAGGTCACACCCGTGGGGACAGATGGGAGTTTGTAGTCCAGATTCTGGGTCGGCTGCTGCCCCCGAGAGAGAGCGGGTTGTGTTTTCTGAAGAGGGTGGAGGAAGTTGGAAAGGAAAGCATGTGAGGTATTTTTAAGAAGCCATTCGTGAGGTGAAGACCTTTTGAACTGGGGAGGAATTCCTCCATTAATAAAAAAAGGACACATTCTAACCTTTTGGGGAAAAAAATCGGTTTCAACTTACATATTTTTTTTCTTTTATTAGGGCTATAGTAAGTGATGGACTGTACTACTACTTTAAACAGTAGACAGTGATATGGGGGAAAGTCAGTTGAAATAATACTTCCCACCCCTTAGTTAAAAGATGATTATTTTCCCTTCCTACCTTAGGGCTGTTTTTTTCTCTCATTTCATAAAACTGACCACAATGGGATTGAAATTCTTTCATAAAACTTATTTTACACTTTTCAAAAATAATACAGCATCAAGAGAGTTTCGTGTGATCATTATTAGAAAAGAAGATACATTGCATTTCTTGGAGGCAATAGCACATTTTTGTTGATTTTTTTAAAAAAATTTCTTTTCCCCTCGTTTTCTTGACTCTGGGATGTTTGCATAAATAACACCAGGCTCGTACACATTTCACTTTTCTTGGCATCATCTATGATTTTTAACTCATTCTTAATTTAAATTAAAGAATGGAAAAATGGGACATTTATGTTTTATATTAAGTAGAAAGTACTGTACTTGTTCTAGTCTTACCCTGTACAGGTGTTACTATGACCAGTTAAAGCTCATGAATATTATTGGGTAGTTAGTTCTTTAATAGAATTTGGAGTGTGTTCATTGACTTCAGGATTTCTTCTTGGTAAGTTTATAAACAAGAGTCAGGTGAGAGCAGGTAATCAGTCCTGGTTTACTGTTGTATACATCGAAATATGCTGCATTTTGAATGTACTTTGCAGTTATTAATACTGTAAACACAAAAACATTTTCTAGAATCAGGTATTAGTTTCCCCTATGATTGAAGTTAAGATGGTCTGGAAATTAATATGACATTTAAAATAGGAGAGAGGTATAGTACTGTAGAATGAAGTAAAATCAGGGATAACACAGCACCATGAGGAATGCAGTACAGAAAGAAGGAAGACCCGCTAAACAAATGGAGAATTATGTGGGGGTTACCTGGCTTTGTGCTGAATTGGAAGGATGCTGTAGTTTAAGTAGACCATACATACGCTGAACATGAGTGAGTGATTATTGATAGGAAAGCAAGAATGTTATTTTATGGAAGGCAATGTAGGCATCTACTTTTTGTTGGGGAAGTGTGAAATGAGTTTTTCTGCCTTTTGGCATGCAGCTATGAGGTTGTGGAATGAGCTTTTGAAGTAAAAGTCAGGAAAATTTGGAAGTAAACAATATAATGTACTTGCTCAGCATGTGTTATTTTTTCCCTTCGTTTAGTTTTACCACTAACTTCTCTTCATTTCTGAGGTCAAGTTTTTATACTTCACCTATGTTGTCATGATGGAGTAATGTTTCTGTATCTTTCAGTCACATACTGGAATACTGTGGTCATTTTGGATATCTGCACATTGAATAATTTAAGGTTCACAGGTTTATGTGTGCACTTGCATTTTTGTAGCGATTTTGCTGGAGCCTTGTGTCAGCCATTTGACATCATCTCTTACAGGACTTAGAATGTCTCCCATTACATCTTTCTCTTTGTCTTTAAGGATATAAGGTCATAAGAATATGTGTGTTATCATTGTATTCCCAGTAGTTAAAATATTGAGTACCTGTTTACAAAGAGAATGAAGAGTTTTAGATTGGTTAAGTGCAAAGACATGTAACTGGTCACTGGTGGAACCAAGGCATTATGCAGGTGTTCTTTCTGTAGATCTTGAATATTGTAGACTCAACTCAGTTTCCTTAGATTATTTATTTTGCATGAGAAAAAGACTTTAAGTGACTTAAATATTCAGATACTGTTACCCTCTTACTCTGTTTTATACTGATAATTTATATTTTGTCTCCTATCTAGCTCTCTGCCTTTATCCCCAGCCTTTCTCATTTACTGTGCCTTTCAATTACTAGGTACATAAACTCTTTCCTGACTTGGGGACTTTGTATATGTTCTCTCCCCCCTGCCTGTCTGCTTCTCTTCCCCTTCCCAAAGCTGGCGAACTTCTAGTAACTTTCAAGTCTCAGTTTAAATGTCAGGGGAACTTTTCCTGACCTCCTTGACCGTTCCTTCCTAAAATTAGAGTAAGTTCCCATGATGTCTTCACCACCCTCTGTACTTCTCCTTTGTAGCAGCATCACAATAGGAACTTAACTGTTTCTGTATTTATTTGATAAATGTCTGAATCCCTCACTAGGCTATAAGCAGGGCCCTGTCATATGTCATGTGCCTTAATTCTCTTACACAGTATCTGGCATAAAGTAAATGACCAGTAAATATTTGCTGAATGAATGAATAAATGATTGAACAAATGAGTGCATTCATGCACAGTACCTCCGGCACTCTGCTAGGGACAGAAATGCAGAAATGAGTGAAGCAGAAATGCTTCCCCCCCTCAGATAAAAAGGAGTTATTGACAGAAGTTTAATATAAATTGTAGAAAGATATTTCTTGGAGGGCTCTAAAATCAGGGTAGTTGCCCAGCCAGTGTGGCTCAGTGGTTGAGCATGGACCTAAGAACCAGTGTAGGAGATCACAGTTCAATTCCCAGTCAGGGCACATGCCCAGGTTGTGGGCTTAGTCCCCAATGTGGGGTCTGAAGGAGGCAGAGGATCAATGAATCTCTCTTATCATTGGTGTTTCTATCTCTCCTCCCTTCCTCTCTGTAATCAATAAAAATATATCTTAAAAGACAAATAAAATCAGGATAGTTTTCTATGGGCAAATGACACAAGAGTCATTTTCTATTACAGCAAACTTTCTCTATAACAGAGCATTTTAAGAGACCTTATCCTGTCCTGTATTTTGCAAGCAACATTCATTATAACAAAATAGAAGAAACTAACTTTTAATGAATTCTCTTCTTGCCTAAAGTTATCTAATTTTGTCCTCAACAAAATATTTCCTTTTTACTTTGTTGTTGCATTTTGATTTTTAACCATGGTATCTTCCTTTGACTTTTATGTTTAATATTACTTGCTTTAGACAGGTACCTTTGGGCTTCTTGAAAAAATTCATATTTCGTTAGGTTTTTTGGCAATATTTTATTTGCTATCAACCTAGATACTTATGAGAGTAAAAATATCATATTTTATTAACATGTAAACTAAATTTCAGGAATAAATTTGTATTAGATTTTGGTCCTGAAAAATTCTTTAATCCTTTGCAGTACAACAGGAATGGACAAAGAATAAATTCAAAGCTCTGAGTTGCTGTGGTCTTACATGCTTTCCTGAGTTTACCAATTCACTCTCCCACAAGATATTATCAAAAAAGTGATGTTGATATTTGGCTTTATAATTTGATAATTCTCCCAGCTTTTATTAAATATAAGTCTTTGATAAATTCTAAACTCACTTTCTTAAAAGTCAGTCCTGTTATTAGAATCTTGGATAAAATTTTATCTTTTAACAAAGATGTGGAGGATAAAACTGAAGTACTACTTCTTACATGTTGTTGGTTTCTTCAGGTCAAAATGATAGATAATGTTACTAAGAATTTGAAGTTAATGCCATGATAAATAAATTTTCTCCATAATATAAACTGTAAAAGTGATTTAGAAGTTAGTGTGATTGATTGTATATATTATTGCATTTGAAATGTCATGAAAAGTTGCAGTCTCAGAGACTTTGGTTTTAGGAGTATACACAGTGTAAAAAATGAAAGCACCTTCATTGCAGCAATTAGAAATAATTTATTTGCAGAAAGGTAAACAATGTAACTTGGTGATCTATTTTGTCTGTATGAAGACAAAAAATTCAGTTTTCTCCTTTTAGCTACATTGATTGAATCTTGGGTGTATTGTAATATCACAATCCTATTTTTTGAGGTCACCCTTACATTTTTGTAATGGGTAATCCTTTTTTTTTAACCACCCAAAATTGGATCTATTTAGTTTCACTCTCACCTTTCTACAGTTGCCTAGAATCAAGTGTTGTTATAAAAAAAAAAAAAAAAAAAGAAAGAAAGGAAGGAAGAGAGAAAATAAAAATGGGATTTTAACAGCAGGCTTATGAATTATTGGGTAGCAGGAATGGAACATATTAAGTGGTAGTCACTACTGTTTACTCAGGCCAGCACCTTGGAGTTAAATTTACCAGAATTAAGTAGATTTCATAGTAATGACAAATTGGTTTATTTCATTTATCACATATTTATTGAGTATATCTTATGTATGAAACTGCCTTAAACTTT